CGCCAATGCTGTTTGGATCCTTAGGGGCTGTTTCTTATCATCCTCTCATTGTTTTCGATTGAAAATCTATACTCAGTCATGTTTATATTTATTTACCGCATAACTCAGCTTTATGACTCTATTTCGATGCATATAAATATTTTGGGCCGAATGCCCTGTTTTACTGAAATGCCGAGGGCCTGATTTGTGAGGACGAGTGTGGATCGGGGCTGCCCGCCTGCAGCATACTCTATTATTATCGCACGTGAGTTGTAGCGCTTGGGCTGAAGGAGCCCCTCCGGAGTCTGTACACACCCCCAGTGAACGCAGGTACCTACTAAGTACGAGTGCTGAGTGGNTTGTTTGAAAAACTGTTGGAAAAATGTCTTTAAATGATTTTTACTGGATCTGGGTTTAAACTAGTTAATTTGATTCAAATCCTGATTTTTTTTTTTTAAAAAGCATGTGGTATTTTACTGAGATTTCCTGATATGAACGTTATATGCTTTATTGCTCGTCACTACTGCTCAGTCTTTATTTATTGTTGTTACTTACTGAGTTGGCGTACTCACGTTACTCCCTGCACCTTGTGTGCAGATTCAGGTGTAGCTGGACACGGTAGTAGTTATTGAGTGTTTTGGTTGCAGATTTTCTTGGAGATAGCAAGGTAATTGTTTGGCGATCGCAGCCCCTGCTCTTCTCCCTCCTATCTTCCTCTAGTTGTATTTAGCTATTTTTTCGGGCTGAGTTAGCCTTGATATTGTTAGACAGATTGTAGTTTTTGCTTATGACTAGTGACACCCCGATATCGGGCTTTTCTTTTCCGCACTTCTATTTTTCTTTGATTTGAACTCTTTAAATGAAGGTTTATGCTAAATAACCTTGAAATTATCTTTAAAATGAAAATATCGGTTTGTTTTGAAAATGAGTCGGCTTACCTAGTTCCACGATAGGCGCCATTACGACCGGGGTTAGTTTTGGGTTGTGACAATCTGTGGCCCTGGAAACTGCCCATTAATCAAGATTCCCTGCCACCAACATTGTCAAAAACAGTCCATGAAATTTCAACAAACATACATTTAAAGAATGAGATTTACCTGTTGTTTTACGCCCAAAGGATAAATGTCTCCATAAGTGATTTTCCAAGTGTAATATCGATAAGGATTGTCACAATATACACTTTGTAGAGTAACTAACACAAGAATAGTAAGAATGACAGAATGAACATTGTTCTTCTCCCTCATTCTGTTACTTTAGCTATTGCACTTCATTATTTTCATTAGCATAGACACACACTTTTCATACGGTCTTTGAAATGCTTAACAGAATACAAATCTTTGAACATCCATTTTATTTCTAAAGACTAAAACACATAGCTAAAATCAAGGACGTAAAAACTATAATTTTCAATACAACTTTTACTTTTTCCATAAAATCAAGGATGTAAAAACCAGTTCTTGCTAGAACATATCATATCAATTTATTATTAAGGTAAATCCCTAAAAAAATACTGAAATGTAAACCCTAAAATCATATCAATTTATTATTGACCCAAAAGTATGAAAATCAGGGTACCAGTCAAACAAGAATTGCCATACCAAAATTCCTCAAGAGAAAGAAAAACAAAACAGAAAAGAGAATGTTTACCTGAACAAAGATAAGAATAATGGTGTAGACAAAGTGCAAAAATAGTAAAAATAAGGGCTTTCGTGTGAGAATCTTGCGGAGCAGCAAACATAAACGGAATGAAGTTGAGAGATACTTTGAATTTCTTGGCAATTTCTGAAGTTCTACAACAAAAGTTTTTGCCCAATTTCGAAATTTCTTCTATTTGCTATCAGATGTCTATGTTCCCATTGCATATGAGCCTTAAATTCATGCATAATTTGTTGTATTGGAAGGAAGAAACTCACATTGTTGAAGATGAGAGCAAGTGGCGACTTTGATAGAGAGGAGAGAATATGTGCCCTAGATAAACTTTAAAAAACTAGCAACGAAAATAGAGATGGATAAATTTTTGTCGCTAATAATAACTTGAAAATTTATTCTTAAGAATCTAGCGACCGAATTTCGGTCGCAACTAATTTTGGAATGTTGTTTTTAAGTAAAATAAAAGCAGCGACAGAATTTCGTCGCTAGTTTCGTTGCTATATTTTAATAATTTTGCCGCCTCATTTTTGTCGCTAAATTTGTAGGTAAAATAAAGGCGCTAAATTAGCGACGGATATAAATATTTGTCGCTAATTCATCGCTATATTTCACACTAAATATTTTGTAGCTTATTTGGCGACAAACTATAAAATTCGTTGCTAATCCGTTGTAATTTAGCTACGGAATATGACTTGTCGCTAAAATCCATCGCTAAACACTATTTTTTTTGTAGTGCTCCCTCTTCCTCTCCTCGTACCCACCAACGCCAACCTCTCGAACCTCCTTTCCGGGGCATCTGGGCTTCTCCTTTGTACGTGGCCGAACCATCTGAGCCTCGCTTCCCGCATCTTGTCATCCATGGGAGCCACGCCCACCTTATCTCGAATATCTTCATTCCTAATCTTATCCATCCTAGTGTCCCCGCACATCCACCTCAACATCTTCATACTTTCATCTTCTGAATATGTGAGCTCTTAACTGGCCAACACTCAGCCCCATAGAACATGGCTGGTCTAACCATCGCTCTATAAAACTTACTTTTGAGTAGCGGTGGCATTTTCTTATCACACAAGACTCCAGATGCTAACCTCTATTTCATCCACCCCACCCCTATACGGTGTGTGACATCCTCGTCGATCTCCCCATCCCCTGGATAATCGACCCAAGGTACTTGACTGCCTCTCTTAGGAATGACTTGCGATCCTGTTTTAAGAACTATTTACTCAATTAAAATAACTTTTGAAATATTTCAAAAGTAGGATTTTAAATGCTACTATAATATTTATAGCATGTAAGATTGAAAATGGGTATAATTATTTTCTTCGGCATGACCAGTATGGTGTGTTTACCTCTGGTTTCAATAATGACTCCATTTCCCGTCTCACCTTGGAAATGATGATATAAACACTATTCCCTCCGTTTTAATTAATGTGTCTTTAGTTTAGTTGGATTCGCGGTTTAGAAAGTAGGAAAACTTTCAAATTTGATCTTAAACTAAAAATGTGTATAATATGTCATAATGTTCTTGAATCCTGTGACCTTAAATATACTATGTGAAAAATTAAAATTAAAGAATTACTAAATATAAAAAAAGACATTCTTTTTTAAAGTAACTAAAAAGTAAGTAAGACACCTAAATTAAAATGGGGTGTACGTTGCCACAGATTACTCTTCTTTTGAGTATCGGATTAGCAAGCTTAGAAACGTTCCCTTCTTTTTCTTCCTTGTTTCCAAAGATAGTTTATTTCTTCAGTTATGTCATGAACATAGTAATTATTTTTTCCTACAGCACTAATCAAAATTTTCCAACAGCTTGTTGCTCAAAATTCTCATCGCCATAATTTCGAAATCTCATTTCACCACCCTGCGCCTAGCAAGGAAAGAAGGAATGCCTAATTAACCGGAACACATTTGGTCTTGAAAAATACCAGCCAGTTGATTATGTTATAGGGACACAGGAATCTATTCATAGAAAGGATCACAACAGTATTTTGTGGTTTAAAGTGCGGACAAACAATAAATAGAGACATGATCTAAAACCATCTAAGAATTTTACAAACACTACAGTCATACATGTTTAGTTATGAAAAAATTGTAGTTAATTACCATTACTATTTAGTAAATTGTTACTAGCTGATATTTGGATTAACTCCTTTTGATATCTTCTGATGAAAACATTTCCCACTGGCTGTATGCAGTTTTTGACCACACAAAATAGGAAAGTTTGATGGGGTAATCGAACCAAAACTGGAAAAAGAAGCCTCTTATAATTGGCCACAGAAAAATGTTACAGTCCACAAAAAGTAGTTTTTGCCTCAGGATCACAGGGCATGAAACACTCATCTTAGCTCATGTTGTACAGAATAAAGTAAAGTCACGTTTCATGGTTTGTTTTCTGACTCTTATTAAACTAGTACAAAATAAAATTACAAAGAAATGTGAATCCACTAATACATCTAAGGAGCATTACAACAAGAGGGACATCCGAATGACTATGAAAAACCGAATTTGGACAAGGCTGACTGGAACAATTCTGAGAAGGCCTGAGATGTACTCTGATCATCAGCTTTGATCTTTAACTGTACTTTACACGATGATGAATTAACTATACATTCTACAAGATAGGTATACGGTTCCTCTGCTTTTTGTGCATAGAAGAAGAACTTGAAGTTTGGAGCTTGACCACCGGAAGCTATGCAGTGGATTGAATGGCCTTGCATGTGACGGATAAGCGCTTGAGGAGTTGTCATTGCTGCCACGCCTTGTGGACTAATAGAGGTTTCCTGATAAAGAAGAAAAGGCAAAGTATTATGAAAATGTAGGAGAATTAACTGACAATGAGGGATGTCGTAATAGTAATGTTTCGATATATGTGCACCTGTGATATTGATATTGGCAGTTGACGCCATTTCTGCTGGAAAGTGTTGGGATCTAAAACAGCTTTAGTATTGAGCTTCAAAACAGGAGGCGGAGGAGGAGAGCTAGCTGCAGCAGGCAAACCAAGACCAAGTAAATCATCGATTGCCGAAGTAGTTGATGCCGCACTTGGAGTAGATTTGTAATCCAAGGAAACAAGATCAGTTTGAGATGGTGCAGCCAAAGAACCATCATATCCAGGAGCACTATATGCAGAACCATTGTGACTAGAACCTTTACTTTCTTCTTTATCTGAAGTACTCAAAAGTAAATCCTTGTCATTTGCCTCGATTCTCTGCGCTGGGACTACATTATCAGTCGGTTCTGCCCCAATAGATAAATTTCCAATTTCCTCAGAGAAGGCAAACGGCCCTCTATGTTCCTTATCGGTGAACATGTAAGAAGGCTGCAAAAATAATTAAGCATGAGAAACATGTTTTATCTTTTCACTAATGTGCAGTAGCATTGAAATTACACTTCTGACAAAGATCCCCAAATTATTATACAATTGATATGAGCGAAGAACATCTTGCATACCTTTTGATAAACAACAGAGAGGCTGTTAAACTCATCAAAGATGCGATCTTTAATTTCATTACTTTGTGTATCAGCAAAGACAGAAACAGCTTGCTTTGGAGGATTCACCACACGCTCTGCTACGGAGACATTGTACTGTAGAAGTCTATAGTATAATAATGCCCTGTCATGGACATCCTGCAACAATACTTGCACATCATTAGAGGCACACAAAACACTTCATACTAATATTTGCCAATCAACTACGCCTCATTCACAATTAAGTTCATTCTGTTCTATTCGGGCCTACTTCATTCCAAACTAAATATATTGTCTTTTTATATCAGTAATTTTTCAAAATACAAAAAAGAAGTGATACCTGATGAAAATCATTAACACCAGCAGCTAATGCAGCTCCCAAGGCTTTCTGAGTCTCTGGTGGTCTTCTGAAAAAGCACTTCACTACTGCTGTAAGAAGATGTAAACGAACCTGCATAATGCATAGAAAGCTAAGTCTAATAAGCTTATGCATCTATCTTTGTTTTATGTATATATTTTTAACTCTATGAGAACTACATTTACAAATGCCTTTCAATCCATCCGAACCTTCCTACTGTTAAGAGGAGCCCACACAAGAAATTCACAATTTTAGTTCATTCATTATCAATCCCACAAGAAAGCTTTGTTTTTTCCATCACTCGAAAGAGGAAAACTGATGAACAGGGGGGCCGCCTTTTGCAATTTTGACATCATCACCTTTGTACTAAGCAAGTAATGTATTGACTTGCATTAACAAACCACAAGGTAACTGACAAAAGTTAGCGAAGAAATGTTTACTCCAAAGCACAAATCATTTTTAAGATTCAGAGCCTTACAAAATGAGACAACTGATTACATTCAGGTATTATGACACTCTTGGCCATGCTCAATAATTAGAAAGATCTTCTAAAGAAGAGCATAAAAGAGCACACAAAAACCATTCAATAAAAAAGGAATTTTAAAAAGAGACACAAAAACTTGCATAGGAAAAGAAAAAACAAACACTAAAAAAGAAAAGAAAAATGCAGCTTGATTACCTCTGCAGAATGCTCCTCTTCCCAATTCTCAACAAGACTCTCCAATACGTATGGAGCATCTTGCATGTCTTGAGCATATTCCCCTAACATCCAAATAAGAGCTGCCTTGGCTTTGGGTTCCTGGACATTTTTGCTACTAATATTCCCTACTACTGCTATACAATCATGACTCCATTGAGGATATTTCCTAAGGAGATCTTTCACAAGTACCTATATGAGCAAATTTCATGGTAAGACCAAACAAAAATAGCAAGACATGAGGTCTCAGATAATTTTAAAAATTTAAGGCACTATTCCTCCAAAAAATAAAAAAATAAAAAAATAAAAAAAACTCAGAAAAGGAAAGATCCAAAAAGGAAAACGGAAAACCAATGACAATATACCAGAGTTTCTGCAGTCACATGGTCTTTCTCCATTTCCAAAAACTGGAGCAGCCTATCTACAATAGCATTAACATCATACTGTTGTAATGCTATTTTGCCAACAGCCCTGATCGACTCTCTCGCCATGGGAATGTCAACATTAGCAGCATATTCACATAGCTCCGTCACTGAAGTCAATCCACAAAGATATCAACCAGATTGGCTAATCTAAAGATGGACAATAGAAGTCCTTAATAATACTCAGGTAACCTACACATCACCACACCAAAAAAGGGTTTATGGGTTTGGTATAAAAGAAAATAGGCTCCTTATGAAACTCTACATTTATTATTCAGGGATTTGGTTGCATTTTGCTTTCGCCTAGATAATACCTGCATAGCCTATGTGTAATCTCTGGCATTTGGGATGTAGCTGTTTGCTTTAATGATAGATATGATAATAATACCAATACAAGATTGGATACAATTTTAACATAGGTGAAGGGCACTACTGAAATAAATCTTAATCTAATTTATACACACATGTTTT